ACACTGCCTCCACAGCATGTAGTGATAGAACAAGGGGAATAACTTTTTTTACTGAAAGAAAATAGATTTAGATTAGACATTAGGAAGAAGTTCTTTACTGTGAGGGTGGTGAGACTCTGGCACAGGTTGGCCAGAGAAGCTGTGGATGCCTCAACTGTGGTCATGTTCAAGGCCAGGCTGGACTGGGCTTGGAGCAACCTGCTCTAGTGGAAGGTGTCCCTGCCTGTGGCAGGGGTTAGAACTGAATAAACTGTAAGGTCCTTTCCATCGCAAACCAGTCTGTGATTCTGTATTATGTGACCACTGTGTACTACGCATGATTTCCACAATCAGTTGATCATTACTCTAGTTTCTTTCCACTTACACTACCACATATTAGTCCACTCAGTTCTCTTGTCCCGTATCTTCGAGCTCCTCCTCTTGTTGTCACTCTGTAACTTTCAGCATCTGGATTCTCACTGGAAATGAAAATCCTGTTCTTGGAGATGACAGTGACAATATTGGATAGAAAAAATCTCAAGATAGTTTGTACCTTCCAGTTGCTTTCTGGCATTGATGTCTACTCTAGCACTCAAGCAGCATGCTTTTAATCAGCATGGTTTTAAAGCCCTTTGCTCCTGGCCATTGGGTTTCCATATTTTGTACTTAAGCTCAGTGCTCCTTCAGTAATGATACAGTGCCTGCTTGTGAGGCTGCCCTGGCAACAGGTCCCTGAAATGATAAGGGTAACCATGCCTTTTTTTGCCTGTTGTTTTTAAGTCAGATCCTTAGCCAGATTTGGGCCACAGCTCCACCTGACACTTGTTTTTCCTGGCATAATTGGGAGTGTCAAACTTTCACTGGGAGGGAATGGAAGACACAGGCAGGAATGTGAACAAGCTTGATTGGTGAAACCACTGGAAGGTGAAGCTGTAGGAGAGTGAGCAGCTGCCTTCTAGAAAACAAGTGCTGCCTTCTTGCTGTCAACTTCAAAACATGCACTTGCTATTAGTTTAATTGCCCCACAAGAGCAAAATCTGCCTAGCAGTATCTTGTTATGATGCCACTATTATTCTGTAGCACTAGAATTTGCCCACTACATCTTACATTTCAGAGCCTGGCACATCTGTTAGCTTGAGAATTCTTACAAATACTTGCTTTACCCAGCTGTGCATCATGCTTGTGATGTTCAAGTTGCGATACAATTGTGGATAGCTAATAGCATGTGACCTCCTGCTAAGTAAAGTTACTCTTTGCTTGACCCGCTGTCCCGACAGATGTTTGCAACCAGTTTGTCAATCACTTTTTCTGCTGACATCACTGAGGTACGCCCTGCTCCTATGGTGAAGTAATCATCGCAATTACAACTAGCACAGTACAAACTAAGAGCCCAGAATTCATTCCTTTTCATTTCAACTCCTCAGTGGGCTAGTAATAGTTAAAAAAACCTAGCTACTTTGAAGACTACTGCATTTAGTAAAGATAACTTAGAGTCATCAGCAACTGTTAATAGAAATCCTGCCAGATACAGGCTTAAGAATAAACACGTATGTGTTAGAAGGTGAATTTACTGCAAGACAAACAAAATTATTTATAGACTACAGCTTATACTTGTGCATGATTACTTCTTCACACAATGTTTAAAGGATTTAGGGCCTCAGCTCTCAGGCTGGATACCACTGGGACTGGGATGGAGGGAGGAAGGGGAGTCTGTACCTAGTGACAACACAAATGACATGACCCACATGTTGCACTGGCCAGTGCCAAATGCACTATGTGGTGTATAGCCTTCTGAACTCCTGATAGAGCCACAGCTGACTCTGTAATATTTTCCAAATACAGGTCAGTACTGTAAAATAAATTGCAGCAAAGAAGGTTACGACACAGTACATTAGGATCTCCTAGGTGGAGATCTAGCAAGCTGAACAGTCCCTGCTAACATACCAACTCTCAGTGGTGTAGAAGGGATCAACACCAACCAAATCATGTGCCAAAATGTGTCTTTGTGATCCTCTTCATTCAGATTTTGATTTTCTCTGTCAGCATTGTATTGGTGTTAAAAAAATATTTAGTAGGCTCAAAATTCAATTATATGCATTCTTAATTTGATTCACACTGAATTTACTAGATTAGGTTCATTAGATAATCAAAATGGAAGTTAACCATGAGAAAATATATTTGTTTGAAATTACACTATTTAATTTGTGCAAACAGCTGAATTTCTAAGCCAGAAAAGTGACCGCCAAATACAAGGCACTTCATAGTGCACCTCATCCTAATAAAACTGAAATCGATCAACAAAATTGAGAATTCTTATTCACCTACAAGTGATTACATTTTGATCACTTTTGTAATAAAAAGTGGGCAAATCAGTAACTTAATCAGCTACTTTTTAAAAAGTGATTTTCACAAAACTGAAAATAATTATGAGTATTTTGTGGCCCTTGACGAAAGGACCCAAACAAAGGAAATAGAAACTAGTAGCTGCTGATGAACATTCTGTCAGTTAAGCCTTAAAATGCAATTAGAAAAAAAGCCAAACGTAGTTAAAATGCCATACTAGTGTGGTGGGAAGGTGAAAACAATGGTAACAGCCCAAATTAGTGCATTCTATTGATGAGAAAGGAGAAGATACTATTGCTTTGTTAAATAATCTAGGAGTTAAAGGAAATTGGTGATGTGAAATTTTTGCCAACAGAAAGAAACAGGGAATTGAATGTAGATACAAGGCAAATCCTAACAATGATATCACTACACTAAAAATGTAAGAATTCTTAACAGTGCTTCAAAAATGTGTTCAGTTAATAGGCTTTCTCATTTACCTGAGAAACAGGTAAATATTATAATAGAGGACAAAGATTAAACAGTTTTGTCTAACAGCATACTTGAAGAAAAATTTAAACAGCAGTAGCGAAGCTAGGTAATTTGCATCATTAAGCCAGGATAATTTGTATACAGGTTTCCAAAAGGGCATTATAGAACCTCTTTCTGATCTCAATTGAGATTATGATTCTCAGTAAATCTGGGAGACCTAAAGAACAGAAGAAAGCTAATATAGAAAGCTAGGAGAAAATAAAAGGGATGACCCAGGTTAATTACATGCCTATCATCTTGATTGTGATCCTCAGCAAAATATCCAGTGTCTCATGTAGGTCTAAATTAATGACTATTTGCACATAATTACTACTCATAAAAGATATTTCCAGAAAACAGATCTTGTAATGCAATTGTGGTATCTCTCCTTTAGGCAAATGTTCATTTGATGAAAGAAGCAGTGATATTATAAACCTAAGCTTCAGATAGGCATTTGACTGGTACAGCAAATCATTTTAATTAAAAATTCTAGGAATATAAAAACCGCAGAATGCCATACAGTAAAGTGGACTGTGAATAATTAACAGGTCTCAAAACACAGAAGAGGAACAATCAGCGAGCACTTGCGGGAGTGATTCAGTTCCTCTGGGGATCAATTTTGTCTGTCAATCAGTGAACCCTTGCGTGAGTGATTCATTTCCTCTGGGGATCAATCTTGTCCGTCTGCTATTCTTTCTTACCAGTGATCTTGAAGAAGGTACACTGAATTATCACCAACCCACAACAGCCTGGCGATAGAATTGAGGGTGTGGGAAACCATGGAGGCTAAAGTCACAAAGTGACTTGGAGCTCTTGGTAAACAGGGTGCGTCTAAAAACTAATTCTTTATTTATTCTTTATTTATATATGTATTTTATTTGTATCTTAGATATATAGAATCATGGAATCATAGACCGGTTTGGGTTGGAAGGGCCCTTAAAGCTCATCCAGCTCCAGCCCCCTGCTGGGATGCCTTCCACTAGAGCAGGCTGCTCCAAGCCCTGTCCAACCCGGCCTTGAACACTGACAGGGATGGGGCAGCCGCAGCTTCTCTGGGCTCACAAGCCTCAATAAAACACACTATATGGAAACATATACAGGATGTAGCCTTGTTAAGTAGTTCTTTAGAGCTTTTGGTGTGCCCCAGTCAATAGGGCTAAAGTTTTGAAGAGACGCGCATTGACAGCAGAGCAGAGGGACTCCATCTCCTGAGTTTCAAATAAAGAATGTGAGAGCTCACCGTAGCTTAGCCAGTAAGTATATGTACACACACATATATATGTATACACACATTTGGTTGATGAAAAACTGAACTTGGAGTATTGTGTGCAGTTCTGGTGCCCTCAGCATAAAAAGGACATGGAACTGTTGGAACAAGTCCAGAGGAGGCCACGAGGATGATCAGGGGACTGGAGCAACTCCCGTATGAAGATAGGCTGAGAAAGTTGGGGCTGTTCAGCCTGGAGAAGAGAAGCTGCCTGGAGACCTCATAGCAGCATTTCAGTATCTGAAGGGGGCCTACAGGGATGCTGGAGAGGGACTCTTCATTAGTGACTGTAGTGACAGGACAAGGGGTAACGGGTTAAAACTTAAACAGGGGAAGTTTAGATTGGATATAAGGAGGAAGTTCTTTACTGTGAGGGTGGTGAGGCACAGGAATAGGTTGCCCAGGGAGGTTGTGAATGCTCCATCCCTGGCAGTGTTCAAGACCAGGTTGGACGAGGCCTTGGGTGAGATGGTTTAGTGTGAGGTGTCCCTGACCATGGCAGGGGCGTTGGAACTAGATGATCTTAAGGTCCTTTCCAACCCTAACTATTCTATGAGTTATGATTACATGATACATATATATATATATATAAATGGAGATTCCTGGGGGGAACTGTACTAGCCGTCAGACACGGCCTTGCGGCTAAGAACTAAATCAAGCTGGCTTAAGGTTGTAAATAAGGCACTTTTTAAAGGACACCCCCCCCGCTAATTTAAGAGAGCGGAGCACCCGCTCCCCCGGGCCATGGCACCGGCCTGCCCGTCTCCCGGAGCGTTGGAACACCCACTCTCCACAGCCCCAGGTAACGGCCACAAACGGTCAAAACCGGGCCCAGGCCGCTGGCGCCCCGCCCCGCGGAGCTCCTCCCGCCCGCTGCCCTTTCCGGTGCCTCCTCCCTCCGTCTCCCCGGCGCTGCCACATCCTCCGCTGACATCAGCCCGCGGCGCCATATTGGAGGAGAAGCCGCCTCCGCCAGCTCGGCCGCCGCAGGGGGGGACGTCGGCCCCCGCAGCCTCCGCCTCCCCCCTGCGCCGCTCCCCATGACTCCCCGCGGCCGGCCGCTGTCCCGGTGCGGGTAGGGCGGAGGCGGCTGCGGATCCGGTCTCTTCTCCTCAGCTCTCCCCGAGCTGTCGCCTTTCCCCTTGGCGGGCCTCTGCCCTCCCGCAGCCTCCAGGCATGACTTCCCTGACCCAGCGCAGTTCCGGCCTGGTGCAGCGCCGGACCGAGGCCTCCCGCAGTGCCGCCGCCGATAAGGAGCGGGGAGCTGGGGGCGGTTCGGAGGATGAAGGCCGCCGGGACGAGTCTGGCGACGACGAGAAGGGCGACTCCAAGGAAACGCGGCTAACCCTCATGGAGGAGGTGCTGCTTCTGGGCCTCAAGGACCGTGAGGTGCGGCTGGGGCCGTGGCGGCGGGGCCGGGGCGGGACGAGGTGAGGGACGGTGGGCAGGCGCTGGCTGAGGAGGCCCGGTGGTGCTGTGGCGAAGGAGGACGGGAACGGGACGGATGAGGGGACGCCGGTTATTCGGGGGCTTATGAAGAGCTTTTATAGGAAAGGGGAGCCCAAGTGGTGCCGGGGTATGGGTTGGATGGCAGCAAGGGCGCTGCTAGGTGGATGCTGCTGCGGGTTTGGGGCAGAGGCGTGATGTTGCTGTGGGTAGGGGTGGATGCTGGAACAGGCTCAGTGCTCTGGGGGAGATGGGGAAGGTGCTTGGATTTTGGGGAGAAGGGCCCTGGCCAAGAGTTTGGATTGCCCTTTGGATATAGGGTTTGCAGAAGAGTTCTTATATTGTAGCTTCTCAAGGAACGCAGAATAGAGGTTGGGGCAATATAGGAGACTGGAGGTGAGGACCAGGGCCTCTTGTCAGCGTTGGTGGGAGGTCTGTCTAGATCTGTAGTAATTATACACCTACAATTTACCCATGGCTCTAATGTCTTGTCAACTCTTACCTATTCTGTCAGACACAACTTTCTGGTAGTTATGGGGTTCTCAGATGCTTTAGGATCTAATGTTACTTTCTGAGGCTCTAATCTTACATTCTGCTAAGACGTTCCAGGCTAAGGGCTCTAATCTTACATTCTACTAAGACTTTCCAGGCTAATGCATGTGAACAGTGCCTTAAAATTGAGGGAGGGATATATGACAGAAATGGGTCTAGAGTAATGAGAAGTGTGTCAAAATGGGGAAATGGCATTATTATATAATTCTGTCGTTTTACCGAATTTGCAAGTTAGTTGTTATGATACTGTGAATGACAGTAATTGAGGAAGGCTTACTGCTGCCAGCGTGTTGGATTTTTGTTTCATTTGAAAGAGGTAATCAATATTAAAAGCGTGCACACTGACCTGTTGGGGAAACAGTTTAATCTGAATTGGTGTATTGTGAAGCATAGTATGTCTTAGTTACAAGGTACAATGAATTTTATAAGCAACCTATTTGCCTGACTTTTTTTTGTTGTGTGTGTGTGGATGTGCGTTTGGTAAGTTCATTAATGAAGCCAGTTCATTGATTTGGGTGGAAGTCTTGTTAAAACTGTTCATGTTCATTAGGACAGAATACTGGAGGAGGGAAGCTGGTAGGTTATATGTTTTTTGAAAGTGTGTTGCATCTAAAATGGGTTTTCTGGTTTGGTAGTGAATAGATTAAAGAGTAGTCCTGGTTAACATTTGGGTTTTTTTAATGTATGTGGTTATATCTGTATACATACTTGCTGCAGTAGCATATATTATTTCTCTCACTGACTGTGTATTTTAGGCCATATTCTTTCCCATTTTTTCACATGGACCTTGTCATGGCATCCTGGTAAACTTTGTAGATGTTCAGTGATGTGTACTTTCAGTAGTTGTATTGAGGACTTGTGTATATGCATGCTTTTCTTTCTACACACCTGAATATTTGCAGGAAAGTAAGATGGATATGACAAGACAGATACCTCGCAGATTGCCTAGGTGATCTTGCCTCGAGGAAGGTGAGATAAGCTGGGTGATCTTTCTGCTTTTTTTTTCTGTGGATTGTGTGCTAAATCTGCTGAATCTGTGGGCTTTAGGCTCTAAAGATTCTTTCTCCCTAGAAAGAATATATGATGCAAATCTTCATCATATAGTCAAAAGTTAATAGTTAATATTTGGCCTAAAAATGCAGATTTGCACTGTTATGCCTTAAAATTTCAAATAATCTAACTTTGCTAAGTGCAACAGTGGTGCACACTGCAGATGACCAAGTACTTCTTTGTGTGGCAAAAGGAACTGAAAGGTTACAGTGGCACAGACACCTATAAATCCCTTGGGATTTTGCATTGAGACATCAGACAAAAAGAATGATAATATCATCTAAGTTAGGGGGCTTATGTGCAGAAACTGTAGCATGCACTGTTTTTGAATGCATCATGAATGAATCATTAGGGTTTGTATTTTTGGTTTTGGGTCTGCTTGTACCACTGTGAACAAGCTGCACTGTGTAAAACACTGTTCCTGGTTTTTCCTTTCGAAATTGGAAATAAAATGATAGACTCGTTTGCAAAGGTGATTTTTTTTTTTTTTGGTATTGCTCTTTATTGTTTTAATGATAAGTAAGCAAAATTTACTTACTTTACACATTGGAAGTGCTTTTTACAAGATTTTTACTTCCAGTAGAACTGATTTTCTGTGACATCTATGTGAGACTTTCTCATGACAGCAAGCAGAGCAAAGCCTATAGGGTCTGTAAAGTAGAACTGTAAAACTACACAAAGTCTAAGGGAAAGGAGAAGGCAAGTGTGTGAGCTATAAGCTCAACTGAAGGCCAGTAAATTTAAAGCTGATTAACATCTTTCCTGTTCATTCCACCAGGATACAATAATTTAATGTTGAGTTTTAAATAAACACAAAATAATAATTAAAAAAAAAAAGTCAGAGTTGGCCAAAGAACGTATTTCCCTAAAAATAGCTTCTCTCTCAGAAGTCACTGATATAGGCATTGAACTTAGCTTTCAGGGTTTGGTGTATTTTTTTTCTAAAGTGAAACACTGGTGAATATGGCATAACATCATGTAAATATACACAAAATGCCTCGTGTATGGAGTGACCACTTACAATTTGTTAGTGTAGGTGGCAGTCTTTACTCTTAGGAGAGAGTGTTTCAGGCAGTGATGGATTGATGAGTTCAGTGTTTCTAGGAGATTGTCAGGTATGTATCTGAAACCTGCTTTCAGGTTTGTAGACAACCACAGCAAAACTTGAGTGTTGTTGCCTGCTTGTCGCTGCAGTATGGGGTTGGTGGTGAGAATGTCTGTCCTAGAACACGGCACACCTGAATTTCGTTCCGTTCAGTGCTTGAACACAATTAACTGTATTTGCACATGGTTCTGAACATGGCCTTTTTTTGTAGTTGTTTTCTTTCCTTTTTTTTTTTTTCCTCTTTTGTTTTCCCTCTTTGACCTAATTAAATTGTACTTGATGTATGTGTACTGGCTTCTCTTTTCTACCAATCGTTTTTCTTCTATTCTGTGTAAATGTATTCTGTATAAATGTATTCTGTGTAAATGTAACTACATCTGTATTCCAAGGTCAAGATAGGTTATAAGGGATATGTGCTGAAATATGCGCATGCTTGCGTAACATGACAGATGCAGTGTCCTTGGGGGAGCAGGTAATATACTGGAACAAAATATGTTACTAGAATTCTTCAGAGAGCATCACAAGAACACCTACACTTATTTGGAAACCCTTCAGAAACATGCTTGGGAAGGAGAGTCGTGTTCGTCCATTTAGAGTAGAGCAATACCCTGTTGCTATAGGAATAAAAAATACTCACTGAAATAAAATACTTTGCTGTATAAGGTTAAAAATAGTATTGTGGTAGGATAGGTCAAAGCCACAATAAAAAGGAGGTTATTTTGTAGAAATACTGAAGCATCTGAGGTCATCATTCCCAAAAGAAGGGATTAGTAAATGTTAAAAGTTAACTTATTTAAAAATGACAAATGAGATATGAGTACGGGCCAGTTTGTTCATTGCAGCTCTTCCAGACATCTCGTAAGTCAGTCCCGTAGTACACTGAGAGGTTTCTAAGTGGCTGTGCTCTCTTAACTGTTTTGTGGGGTTTTTTTTTGCTTTGTGGTTTGGGTTTTTTTCCACTCCTTTTTGGAGTTCTGTCTTGATACATGTTAGGAATCTGTTCAAATACAGCAATGCACACATCTGCTTCTACAGCCTATACAATGTGCCGCAACAAAACAAATTGAAGCAGCTATTGAGACCTGGTACCTAATAAGATAAAATATTTATTTGGTCTGTAACTAATTCCTTACTTGCTAAAAGAAAACTTACTTATGGTGTGCTGAAATAATCATCATGCACTGTGGTCTACTGCAGCAGTAAATATTTCTGGGCTTACTTACCCTTTCTTTGGTGAAGACTAAAATCTCATTTGTGAGAGTGAAGTGATGTTAAATCACCTTTTAGGGTACACGAATTATGTTGTATCTTTGCTGCTTATCTTTGGTCTTCAGAAACTTTCATTTATTGCTGAAGATGTAATGTTACAGTGTAGCTTTTTGTCTGAATAGGTATTGTGAAGGTGTGCAGTTTAAATTTTTTGTCATATTGAAATAAGTTATTAGGGAGCTAGTTTGCCTGCTTCAGATATGCTGTTCTGTGTGGATCAGATTAGTCCTAAAATGTAGTTTCTTTATTCTTATTAGAAATATGAGTGCCTGGATTTGTTACTGAACCCCGTACTTTAATCCTGAAGAGATTTTTCTGAAAGGTGAAATAAGAATTTTGAAAACATTCAGGGTGTGGGTTGGATTTTCACTGCGACGAAGATCAGGGAAATTGATATTATGATGAAGTAGTCAAGGCTTTTTTGCCTGTGTAAGAAACAGGTTTTGAAAAGTCTTCAAAATATATTTTTATGTTTTTTTATTAGTATTTTTTTATTATTATTATTATTTTGTTTTAGGTTTTTTTCCCTTTTTTTTTAAATAAAAAAGCTTTGGCAACAGCCTTAATGTCAACTCAAAAGCTCTCAAGTTTTGCTTGAAAATGAGACAAATGAGTGAAACATGAAGAGGCGTCTGCTGGGAATTTGCATTTTGGTCGGAAGAATGATGTATGAATGTTTTGAAACCTTGACAAAGACATGCTTTTTCTCAAATGTTCAGGGGCTAATAACAACAAAGTGTGTAATGTCTGTGGTGAAAAATTGTTTCTTTCATAGCTTTCTACCTTCTCGGTCCTTTTTTTAATTTCATGTCCATGAATAAACTACAGGGTAAGAGAATATAGGAGATGTGGAAGAAGGAGTAACCCAGTTCTGTGTGCCACACCATGCAGTGAAATGCCTCTTTGCTGCGGAGTAAATCCTGCTTTTGTGTTCTTTGGAGGACATGCTGATTTGAAAGCAGTGTTT